GACACTCAAACCCCTCCACCACGATAAGGTGGCAGCCCAGGGAGGGGAATAGTTTTCGGTTGACAGATAGGAAAGAATTCTATATCAAACTGAAAAAAAAAAAAAAATAGTTTTCAGTTTGATATAGAATTCTTTCCTATCTGTCAACCGGAATCAGTTTATAGTTTAAATCAGACTAATGAAAACAGAGATTAATTACACTTTATTACGCTGTAAAGACACTGATAATATAATTTAGGAGAAAAAAAAATCGTAGAATTCTAAAATTTGGGCATTCAAATTTGTTTAGACAACACAGATCTGGTCATTTATCAGAATACTCTGCTTTACCTTTATATTGATGGATTTAATTGTAATAGTTTTCCTACCATGTGTTCCAGTCTGTAGTTTTTTATTTATTGTTTGGTTTTAAAAAATATTTCTATTTTTTATTTTTCTATTTTTCTTTCCCCTTTTTTCTTCCCCTAAATGAAAGCAGATTCATTAGTATATCTGCACTCCTCGGGAGATTTTAAAGATGGAGCATGAGGTTGATGAAAATGTACGATTGACCGATTAGAGTTGCAGCACAAAGTTTGACAGAAACAGAGAGGAGAAGAAATTACCAAAAAAAGAAGAGCTAGAGGGTAAAAGAGAGGGAGAGATGCAAACAGAGATGCCAAGTCACAGAAACAGAAAGAAGATGTGGAGGTAAGAAGAAAACAGCTGATTGGATTAGGGATTGAGCTGACCTGCACCTCTGGGAGTGTGTGTGTTTGTGCATGTGTGTGTTTTAGTGATCAGGAGACAACACTAAAGTTTTAAGAATAGCAGAGGAGACACTTGAATCGCCTCGACAGCCACTCTCGGGGACTGACCTTTATGAAATCAGAGTGGAAGCAGAGGCCTGTGTGTGTGTGTGCGTGAGCGTGCAAGGAAGCGTGCCTTGTCCATTACTTCCAAGTGTGTGCGCGTGTGTCTGTGTGTGTGTGTGCGACTCCCTCTCTTTGCTCCTGTCTCTTTGACCCCGGGTCAGGACCATAAATTGGCACACTGCAGTGTTTTGGAGGAGCACTGAATTGGGCTTCAGTTCCCCAGTGACACTCTTGACTTTGTAACAAAAACTTTCTTAGCTAATTGATCAAAACTCCTTGGGATTGGCTGTCTGTGAGGCTCTCTGTCAAGGAAACATGCAGGCATCCCGCACATCCTCTCGCTGTCCTCAGCTTGGTTTCGCATCTTCATTCAGATTTTTTTTATAACAGCTCAAGAAGTATGAAACGGCTTGAGCAGTGCATATACTGAGTCTGTCCTGCTGCAGTGAATAAATTATTACAGTTGTCTTACTGCCTGGACGTCTGAATATAGATGATCAGATTTTACTTAAGGCTCCATTTTAGAGGCTTTATTGCATTTTGAAGTTGGATAATCAGCAAAGGTTGCTGGCAGAAAAAGAACACTCTTAATTATTCTGTGTTGTAAGACACAGGAGTTTAGTGCAAGGTGGAAACTAGCCATATTTGATTTATAAGAAGAGAAAAAAAGGCAAGAAATTACCACTTTATGTCCAGTTTAGCAACCATTGATTGCTTCTTTCTGCTGAGTTGATATCAGACGGAGAGGATGGCTGCTGTGCTTCCAGTGTGTTGCGCTACACAACAAATGTTTCTCACAAATTCAATTTGCATGTACTAAATACCAGTGCCAGTCAGTCTCACAAGTGATGGTAATGTGACAAACAACCTGCAGCTAAATAGTAAGAATGACGTGGATCTGATCAGCTTCTAATCCAGCTTGGGCCTGCTAATAATCAAAGCGATAAAAGATTGCCAGGCTTAGCTTAATGGATGTCGGCCCAAACATTTTTTTATTGTCATGGTCCCTATGCTAATGTTCCGCAGAGGCAGAATTTTCTGTAGTGGGTTTGTTTCCTTGACATGGTAGTTTTTTGCCTCTGTATATTTGACTTCTGACCATATATATGGACATAAGCTTGGAGAGATTACAGTATATGTATTTAAATATGAATTGCTCCTGCTGTTAAAAGCTATTCATGCTGCTTTTTATGTCAGTGTAAAGGCGGTGGAAAATTCCGTAAATATGCAGTAGCTTGAAGTACAGTTTAAAGATTGTGTCTTCTTGTTCAGGGTTGTCTTGCATCAGGTTCATGCTGCCTCTCTTCAGTGTGAAGAGGCGCTGACACACACACACACGCACACACGCTCACACACAGCCGCAGACACACCAAGGCAATCCATTTTTGATGAATTGTAATTGTAAGGTCAGGTCGTGTTTGTGCCCACTCATCAGCTTGTTAAATCTCTGCCGCAGACACTTTATGGTAATTAGGCTTCGTGTTGCAAACAGCAGATCCAATCTGACCTGTTTTATTATAATTTTGAACCATGTTGAACGTTTTATTTTTTTATTTTTTCCTTTTTTTTTTTTAGTACAAGTAATGCATTAAGATGAACTGATCCGACCCCCCTGAAGTCAATGATGCATGTTCATGTCGTGCAGGATAGCTTTGGTTTAAGGTCCTTTCTTTGAATAGTGTCAGAAAAAGCAAAGGTTTTCATGACTGTTTGAAGAAACTGTAGAACTCACTTTTATATATATTTACTGCTTTTTTTCTCCTATAAAAAATGTAATATCAATAATGCAAAGTTCATTTTTAAGCTGGTTTTTCCAAATTTCTGATTTATGACTCCTGGAAATACCCAAATTTTTTTGCTTACAGCGTAGTTCTTACCTATTTGGCCATGAATTTTTAAGAGCAGCACACTGCAGTCCTGATCCTTTTTTTCCAGCTTTTTTTCCCCGAGAAGTGAGTCACTGTTTTTCCCCCCCACAAACTTTTGACCTATCAAACAAGTTCCATAAGAGTACAAAACATTACCGTCTGAAAGATTGGGAAATTTCCGTTTTGGTTGAAAATCACCAACTTTGCCCAGAACCCATCCGATTTCCTGTTCCAGTAGCCCATTGACAAATAAAACATATGATAGTTTGAGAAGACTATCTCCCAAAAGTCTATTTCAGAGGGTCTCTTTTTTGCAGGAAAGGTTCAATTGAGTACCAGTAAAAAGATAAAAACTGTGTGCTTTCTGAACTTTTCCTGCCAATATTCCTTTTGTCTTTTTCACAAAAACTGTGATAGACTGTCTTTTCACTCGGTTTTTTATGATTTTTTAAAATTTATTTTAAAGAATGTTAGGAAAATACCGTAAGGTAAAACTTATTAATTGATTTCTGAATGATTATTTCTTTTAAAAGAAGCTTTTCAAGTGAGGCAAAATGGTTATTGTGCATTGACCTTGATCATTTAGAAGTTGCTCAATCAGTTTCTGAATGAAAAGGTGAAAAGATAACTTTTACTGTTGAAATAATTCTTGAAAGCCAGCTATACATTGTTGAGGAGCCCCAGTTGTAGTTTCTGTTGTAATCCACTTGTGGTTTTGTATGTATGTATTTTCCATCTATAACCGAATATATTTTACAGATATCTGTTTCCAAAAGACTGTATTTGTGAGGTTGCTGAGATTAAAATGAATATTTTACTTAAAAGTCAGAAATTTTGTGATAAAACAAAAATTACAATGTGTTCTCTTAGGAGCGTGTTGTGGTGGAGAGTTCTGATTGGCTGGCAGTGGTGCCATATTGGGCAACATGGCCCTACCAGACTTTGCTGTTACCACGACGACATGTCCTCAGAATCAATGACCTGTCAGCAGAGGAGAGGGAAGGTGAGTGTGGGACGATAGCATCAGAGCGAGTGACTGGCTCAGAAATCTAAAAAGTTTTAATCCTGAAGTCCACTCACAGCACATTCAATCTTCTCAGAAGCTTCAAAATGACAATTTATAGCTCATACACACTTAGAGTTTACAGCTGTGTTGTTGGGGTTGAAAAGAGAGCTTTTAGAGATGCCACATAAGTATTGTATGTATGATTTTGCCAATATTTAATCTTAATAGAGGAAGTTGATGAATTAGCTTCAAATTCCCATTCATATTTTGAAGTTTGCTTACGTACATAATCTCTTAACTTTTTTAGAGAATTTCCCTTGCTTCTCCTCAGGCAGCCTTAATTTAAGGACAAGCATTGAAGCAACAATGTTTTCTGTTACCCTCCATGCGTTTCTGATTTGATCTCATTCTGGTGTACTGTTTGTCAGGTCTTGCTGCCATCATGAAACGTCTGTTGACAAAGTACGACAATCTGTTTGAAATCTCATTCCCCTACTCAATGGGCTGGCACGGTAAGACAAAAAAAAAGAGAAAGAGAGAGAAAATGTGCATTGAGAGAATGTTTTGCGTTCAGTGACATTGAAAATAAAGTGTTCAGTTTATTTTGGAGTGATGAAAGGAGTGGAGTGTAAATGGTAAAGATCCTTTGTTATGTCATGTTATGACACGGATACCATGAAGTTCAAATTATTTGTATTGCACTTTTAGTACAGAATTTGATGGAGCAAAGCAAACAGGAAAGTGATTAGAGGTGGATAATGTCAGACAGGACTCTGAATATATTTGAATTCATACAGCCAAAGAGTTTGGAGGGCTTGTTTGATGACCCACCTCTAATGGTGCAGCAGTTTTCCAGCCATGATAGGATAAACACATGGGCCAGCGTCTTAATAAGACTGGATGCCAGATTTTATACAAAAAAGATTTTATTATTTTTTTCTGAAGGTGAAAGATACCTCACTGCGAACCAGTTGAATATGAAAAATAAAATATGTATCCAAATAATATGGTTAGAAACATCTCATTTCTACATAGATTGTTTTATACACTGTATATATATATATATATATATATTTAAAAAAAATATATATATATACTGTATATTTTACCTGAATTCAAAGATCAATTATGGGCCGCGTGCACTAAGATGGCCCTTAAACTTCAGGAACCAATTGGTTAACATCTAAAAGATCTATAAGAGAGCAAAGAGCTAGAATCTTCTGGTACACTTGGTCAGAATATGACACACAGGCCCCTTATGATTTTAAACCCAGTGGCTGAACATCCAGATATTTGTATTTAGACGTTAGAATGACAAGAAAATAAGTGAAGAAATTGAATTATAGAATTACTGGTTTGGATTAGTGGATCGCAGCACCGAGAGTTCTGTTGCAAACAAGATGCTCTTCACAAATCGGGCCAGCTTTAAGCCAATTCACTTTGTTTAATGTGAAATCTGCAAGGAGCCACACTCGCAGTCGGCTGCGAGCAGAGCCTTTGTCTGTGACCGCAATCGGTAATGTGATGTAAAGTCTTTTCACGGTGAGGATTTTAAGATACTTGTGGCGCTACAGCAAATTAAACATGAATGAGGGGATCTGGGGGAAATGCTGTCACGCCTTATTTAGGTTTTTGTGACAGCCTTACCTCACGGGCTTTTAATACTCAAAGTCTCCTTCTCCGCCACTCTTACGAACTTCTTAACCAGCAGCCATTCCCTCTCTATTTTTTAAACCACAAGCAGCAGAAAAGCCCTCTTCTTTCTCAGGCCTTTTCTACCCCGTCTCACTGTTTATTCCTGTTTCTGATTTCTTTCTTTTATCGCACTCCTTGTGTTGCTCCATCATTTATTTGAAGTTGCACTGTCCCTCTTGCTTCCCTTCGTTGTAAAACATGCTTTAACAGTTTCTGATCAGTACAGTCTTACATGCAGGGGCCTTCTAACCACGTTCTCTTGCTTCATCAGTATTTTTCACTCGGGAAAATAGTCTTGCGAAAGCACAACATTAATATAGCGTCGGAATATTGATGTTTACTTGTCAAATGCCACGGAAAGACATGAGATGAGGTGCTGCATACATTTTAGAGCTTGTCTGCATTTTTAGCTTGGGAACCTGTTACTTCATTTCCATCAACTCTGCTGTTATAAATGATAGGGAACCCTCTCATCTTTGATGTCACACGTATACTTACTGTATTACCACTTCAATGCACACTCAGACACACCAGTAACTTTAGGGCATTAAGAAAGCTCTCTCGTATGTAAAGCAGGAGGTCCCGCAGGTAAAGGGCAAAACTTCGGGCTTTTACAGGCGAGCAGATACTGAAACTTTCTGTATATTTAGAGGATGAATCATCTGTTTGAAAAATGGCTGAAGGACAGATGCTGAATTTGGGGACGGAGGGCAGGGCTTGACTGTTTTTAATTTGTCTTTAGAGGACCATTCAAATATGAAAATTATGGCATTCATGGAACGGAGCTTCCCCAGCGTTCCTTAGAGGAAGTAAAGGTGGATCATACATATATTGTGCAAGATTAGCTGCTACCTCAGAGGGACCTGTCAAGCTAGCTGTTTCAATTGGAAGATCTAGGAGCTTGTAGCAGGCTACAACAACAACAAAAAAAGCACTCATCCTTCTGATTGTAATCCATATGAAGCGCTAAGATATAGATCTTGGCTAAAAGATAAAGGTGATACAGCCGTTTGGCCGGGGATCCTAATCTGTGGAGAAGTGGACCGTTACACGTCGTCTCTAACATTAGAACTTGGCTTCATGATACACGTTGGCTTTTATCACACAGGCACTGGTCTCATATCTCCCTGTTTTGATGACTTACTGCTTGTTTATTATATAGTTTTCTATCCTGATTTAATTGCAAATAGGATGACACAGTCAGAAATAACATCTGTTGAGATTTGGATCCATTCATTTTGATACACCTTTATTTATATAGATATAAATGAAACTGTATCAAAACTCAATGGAGGAATGAAGAGAACAGTAGAGTTTGGGTAAAGCCGTTTAATCACCGTAATGCTGCCTCTCATTGTAGACGTCAAATTTATCCATCTGGACATTGGCAGAGAACGCTGTAGTCCTCAGGCTTGGGCTAAAGGCCTCTGAGTAAAATGAATTAAATGCAGTGCTTACTACATTTGCTGAACAGTTCTGAGACTTTTACAGCACAGATAATTCTGGGAATTTCAATTTTGGAGTATTCCATACTTTAGATTGTGTATCACAGAACAAAGATAAATTTACTTTGTGCAAACCAGCTGCATTACCCCACAATGACAACAAACCTACAGGCACCACCCCCCCCATAGAGGCCAGCACCAGGCGTTCAGCGTTGCCTGACCACTTGCATCATGTCTGGGAAAGACTATCCCATGTATTATTAAAAAAAGGTTTTATATTTAAGACTTTGAAGCCCACTGGTCATGGATAGAGTATTCAGGACTTTATGTTGCGAATGAAGCAACAATGTAAAACTCAAATCACTCTACAGTATCTTCCCACACAGTACGGTTTAGGTTTTGTGAACAGGACGAATAATTTTTCTGGTCAAAGTAATAGCCCCAGAGACAGCTAGCGATTCAACTCTGTGAAGACATATCTGTGAAGATTCTCAGTCGTCCAGGTCATGGTCAAGCTTGGAAAGTTCAGTGAGGCAACTGGACGTGAAGAGTTTCTGCATCGTTTACATCATTCAAAACATTCAAGCTGCCCAAACAGCCGCAGTTTAATTCAGTTCTGTTTGGGATATGCATAACTTCACGCTTCTCTCATTTTCCTTTAACCCCAAATGTCAATCAAAAGAAATATTAAAGAAATAACATGAGGGCAGAACGCAAGCAAATAAGCACACAACATATCAAATCTAATAAAATACAGTGTAAAAATGCATTCAACAGCCAGAGCAAGGCACATAAATCTAAACTTAACTTCTGGTGAAGAAGAAGAGGATGATGTACATACATACACATAAATAATTTTTCATTTTTCTTAACATTTTTCTATTTTCATTCCTTTCTAAATTCTGTCTGCCATCAGCAGCCTCAGGGACATGAGGTGTGTGTTTAGTACTACCGATAACAACTAACCCAAAATGTGGAAATGAATGTAGTCTAATTTAGCTGGCAGCCCTGCAGACGAGAAATAACCTCAGTTGAATGTAATAATGTGTCAGAGAGCCATTTTTGAGGTATGGTCATGCCATTGCAGTTCATTTTCAGCAAATGAATTTATACATTTTTAAAGCTTACAACCTGCGTCAATTTCTTTTCCAGCTCTCAATGCATTTCTTTCAGGTTTTTCTTTTTTCGGCAGACGGGTACTCAGAGCAAAGGAGCCCACATGAAAGGCATTTTCTAAAAAAGAAAGATGAGATGCTCCCATCCTAAGAGTAGTGTGGCAAAAAGGACAGAGGCCCTGAGAGGACACACATATTGCCTTATTTCTTTATTTTTCATTTCTTATTTTATTAGATATCAAACCTTTGAAGCAAATCTTGGTGTGAACTTGCCTGTGGTGATTTTGTGTTAAGCTTTTGGTTTTAATCTCTTATTCTGTTTTATTTCTTCACTTCAAAAAAGGTGCAGGCCATGAGACCACAAAGTGTTGAAGGTTTTGAGCAAACAGTCCACATGCATCCTTTTATTTCTTCTTTGAATCACAAAGTCATTCTGCCAAAGAAGTGAAAATGATTCAATGTACGGTCACTTAACTGTTCTGATTCACAAGAACTTGCTTTACATTCCATAAGAATGCAAGAAATGGCTGTGGAGGACTTCAGAAGGCATTTGGCTGCTTGGCTTCTTCTTTCCTCTGACCTCAGATCAGACCTGCCTCCATGTCTCTATCCTTGCAAAACAGAGACCATGAAGCACATTGAGAGTCTGAGTGTGATGCGTAACTCTTATTTAAACAACTGCACTTGTGACAAGGGTCAAATTTACCGAAAGAGGAGACAGAAAGAGGGTAAAAAGCCAGTAGAAGCCAAACCAGGAGAGCAGGCAGACAAACAAACTGTAAGATGATTATTAATGCATTGTTTGTGTACGCGTCGGAATCAGCCCACATCATACACATAGTTGACTTCATCATTACGTTGAACGCATTAATTGTTGATGTAAAAGTGGGCAGAGATTGACTTGATGTGAGGGGTATGGTGACACTTACATTTTTAAAATAAATCTATGAATATTGATTTAGCTTGTAAAATGCGCTAAAAAATGAGCTATTATGAGGTACAGTGAACAAACGACTAAACTCAGATTCATTCTAAAGTGTTTGTCGGTCTGTGTGTGTCGCCCCGATGTGAGCAGATATGAAATGGATCCGCACAAGCTGTGTGTGTGCGTGTGTGTAATCCTGCCCTTGTACACTCTTTGAAAGAGGGGGGTGTCTCTGGCTTGTTTGTTTTTCTTGAAGGGTTTGCACCAGCACCCGCGTTAACCCCCTGTCATCTCCCTTGAAGTAGCTCTCAGCTGAACGTGTGAAGGGGAGCCTCGTACGCGCTTTGTGTTACTGCTGCATGAAAGCTAAGTGGTTGCTGGCAGGACAGGCCACGTT